TGCCCCGCCACTCTACCACTCCAGGCAAGCACATGGTGTCCGTCAACTGGCTGCTGAACGACGAGCCGCTCTCCGTCAAAGACGCGCTAGCGCTCGAGCTCACCGACGACCTGCTGGTGGGCACGTCGGCTGCCACTCTTCGCAAGGCCCTCACCGACAGCGGTCTCGGAGAGAGCGTCATCGGGGGCGGGCTGAGCTCGGAGCTGTTGCAGAACACCTACAGCATCGGCCTCAAGGTGGGCACGGCGGGGGGGGCTCCCTGCACTCATGAATCCGCATGCTGTTGGTCGTTGGCCCATTGGCCCTGTATGCATCCCTAAAATGTTGGGACAGTGGGCGTATGACGGGGAGACAAGGCAAACTGCCGGATAATTGTACGATAGGTCTTAACCAGCGTTTTGTTCTTTCTCTTGAAGTGGTAGTATTTTTTCTGTGGTGTTGCCACTGTTTGATTTTTTTACATTTTTTGTTTTGGTGGTTGTCCTGCTGTCTGTTGGCATCAAACAATTTCGTGGCTCCGAAAGGTATGAGCACGTGCAAGCTGCATTTTCCTTGCTTTGGGATGCAAAGCTATCATTGGAGCGAATTGCCGCTGGAACGGCCGGCCAACACTTTTGTCTGTACACCTACTAGTTTTTCTCGCGGGAGTCGATCTGTTTCATGAATGTAGAGTACGCCCTCTCGAGGTAGTTGGCAGTACTTGGTGTTCATTGGCCAGTGACGGCAGAGGTATTGGCACCGAGGGTGTCCAGCATTGCCCTTTTTTCGAATCGAATCAAACATCCACTGGTGTTCTTGTCTCTTCTTTCTTCATGTAGGGGGGCATGGCCGTTTCATCGCAACGAGTCCTGATTTTGAAGTGTTTGCTGTTGTTGTGCACCGCGTGGTGTAGTTTATCATGACAACTTGTCTAGCCCCCCATCTCTCGTAGCAAAGGGTGAAGCCCATTATCACAACCCCCCCCCCTCGCTCTCTTCTCTCCCGCCTCTCACGAACAGGGAGTCTCGAAGGATGACGTTCCTAAGGTCGAGGCTCTCGTCTTGGAAACCCTTGAGAAGATCGCCGAGGACGGTTTCGACCAAGAGGCGATCGACGCCTCCATCAACTCCGTAGAGTTCAACCTCAGGGAGTTCAACACCGGCTCTTTCCCCAGGTGTGTTTTTCAGAAGGGGTATGTGTGTGTGTGAACTCGCCGTCGAGCACCGCAGTCGTTCGACCATTGATCTCGCATCCCTACAAGGCCGGGACAGAGCACGCCGGGTTTCTCACCGGACCCGGCTCTCACATCACCAAGCGCGAAGCGCCGTGAGGTATATTCGGCGAATCGCAGCGGGGGCCGGGGCGAGGGGTGGGGGCGGGGTTACTCTGATGTTTTGCATGCCTTACTGTTATACCATGGCCCGCGCGTCCTCGAGAGGGCGGAATATGGTTTTCACAGAGCCGCGGTCGCCAATGGTCACTCGATCCTCCATACTTTGCCAAATGTGGGGCAAACACGCTTTCCCCCATCCTGTCTACGTCACTTCTTGGCTTCCCAGGCCACTTGTTATCCCCCAGCATAGCTTGTCTGACTGTCCCATGATCCAAACGCCTCTCCTTCGCAGCCTTCATTTTTTCAGCTACACACCTAACGGACTTGAGAATATTCATCGCTACTCGTCCTTGCGTGCTAAATATATTTTTTATGACTTGAAGCATTTTTACCGCTTTGTTTTGTTTTGATTTGTGATACAGGGGCCTGTCTTTCATGCTCGGAGCGATGAGTGACTGGGTGTACAACCGCAACCCCACGGAGAGCCTCCACTTCGAAGGCCCCCTCAAGGAGCTCAAGGATGACCTCGCCTCCGGGAAGAAGGTAAGGAAAGAAAGGTACTTGGACTATATGCCCACATCAGTATTTCCGAGCTAGTTCTTCTCTGCTGATAGTGTGGGAATTACCAGTGGCATCACCTTCCATGAGTGGTCGGTGTTGCCACTCTGTCGCAAATAGGAACAATCAGTGACCTCAATCGTTGTGATCCCTACATCGTATTTCGGTGATCGATCTTTCGTATACTTGACCCGGTAGTAACATTTGTTGGAAAGAATTACGGTAAGTAGGATTGGCAGAAACTCCCTTTTGTCTCCTGTTTGCGTGGCGATGCTTGCTTTGTTTGGCGAGTGAAAGTCAAATTCTTGCTTGTCATTGTTCTAAAATACAACCTCTTTCCTTTAGGAGCGTTCTGCGAAAGGTTTCACTATTCTCGACTTTTCGATGCAGAAGTGATCAGAATTTCGAAGTTACTGTCGTTCTTCTTTCCTTGTTGTAGTGTAGGATTCACGAGTGGCTGTGTATTTGGCAGGCGGGCGGACGTGCGAAGCTCTTCGCGGGATAGACTTCAACGGGTTTGACATCCGGCTTATTCCGCATGATCAACCATAACACCACGCCGGGGAAGCTGTACTTCCTCATTAGGGCAATGGGGAGTGAGAATCAAGCCGGCGTGGCGACTGAGAAGTCGGACGACGAGATACACAGAGTTCGCCGTGCGCGGGACACGTTGGCATAATCCACACGAGATCCTTGGAAACGGGTGTCCTGACGATCATCATGCTGGAGGCGCATGCACCAGCGCACGTTCCATGCGCTGTGGGAAGCATAGCGACACGGCCCAGTCCATTAGGTGGTGAAGAGCTGTTGCAGGCATGACCATGCAATTGTACGGTTCATGTGCAGGGTACAAGGTGTAGTCTAGGGGCAGTCCGGGAGTACGCGCCAGTTGGGCGAAGCGGTGAAGGCCCGTACTCCACGATTCCCTGTACTGGCAGTGGATGTGGTCCAGAGCGTGCTCAGCGTGAACACCGGCGACCCCGTTACGAGCGGTCTCAGCCACGAACAGCCGGAGGACGTCGGTTAAAAATGTTTCACCAACCACACCCAAGACATGCCCTCGTTCAGGCTGTAGACTTGGACGTCATATGATCGCGGGATATTCCTGGGAAACGGGAGCGATGTCCTTAGTTGCGTCGGTGTGGTTGTTTTCGTTCATTGCGAACGGTGCCATGTACAGTTCGTACCGCGTCGACGAAAGACTGCTGTGTACAGAGTTTGTACTTTTTTTTCCTTTTCTGTTCGCTGGGGTCTAAGAGCCAAAACACATGAGCTGTGTGCGAGCTGTTGAGCTTGGCTATCGTCGCAACTGGCAGCTGGCAGCCACCTGCCGGCTGCCCCTGCGTCCTGCTTCCACACATGTTGCATAGCACATCTTGCATATACCCTTGTTATGATACATGTGAAAATTGACTGGAAATGTGTCTGCCGCCTCTTTTTCCCCCACTTCTTCGGCAGGCTTGGCAAAAAAAGGGAAAAGAAACTGAATAGCCATGTCATTGAAGGCCTTCTGCACGCAATCTCTCGGGCTGTAACTGTAACTGTTACTACTCTACTGTCCCTCGCGTGCACTGTGTCTGGCGTGTTTTCGGTTTCAATGAACGCTCTTTGTTACATATATCAGGTGTTCGAGGGCATCGTAAAGAACATGCTCGTAGACAACGGCCACCGCGCCACCGTCGAGAGCGTGCCCAACACCGAGCTGGAGGCTGTTATCGAAGGCAAGGAGAAGGGAAAGTTGGACGAGGTCAAGAAGAGCATGTCCGAACAGGTGAACAAAATGTAACAGAACCGCAGTTTTATCTTGTGTTTTTTTTCTGTGGGCTGCAGCTCTCTCTGCTCGGGTGATACGTGGAGTTTTCGTTCTTCGATAGAACCCCTGCTGACCCCCCCCCCCCCCCC